CTATGATTCTTGGCCTGAAACCACATGTCTGATGCCCAGACCTCCGTGTTCCCAGCCTCGAAGAAACAGAAGGTCCAGACCCATGGGCTCTGCCATGGACACAACCCAGGAAGCAGCCCTGTGGATTCAGAGGCCTTGTGGCCCCCGCGGAGAGGGTCCCCCACCTACTGCAGGGAACCTGGGGCTCGGGGTCAGGGATGCTCTCCCCAGAAAAGCACTTCTCTTTCTACATGAAAGCAACCATCCTCGATTCCCAAAGAAGCAGGAGGAAAAGGTGGCAATGCTCTGTTGAAACTCATCCCTAGAGAAAGACCCCAACACTGCAAAATGGGTGTTGCCATTGACCGCCTCCCAATCAGTGACTCTTGCTTAGGTGATGTTGCCCAGGCAGGAAGGTGGAACCAGAGGGAGCAGGAGGATACTGAGCAGCTGAGCGGGACCTTGGGGAGAGGGCGGGGGCTCATCAGGACGTGCTGAAAACCACGAGAGGGTGCCGTGGAAGCCCACGCGTGCAAGCATGCCTTTGGTGGATTTCAGTGAAAAAGCAGTTGAAGGAGGGCCTCTAGATGATTGCTCGTGCTGGGAGAGGAAAAAATGCTCAAAAACCGTGGGAGCAATTATAACAATACCACAGGGGTTGCTCTATTTCACCGAAGATAGGTTAGAAGTCACTCGTTAGGAAATTCAAACCTGGAGAAGTTACAGAGTCCACACATAAGTGAACGTACCATCGTGGGTGTGTGTTAGGGGATGTGCGTGTGTGCATGAGTGTGTGTGTGTAACAGCAGGATGTAATGCCGTTCAGCTGAAGAAATAAAATGTCTTTGGGGTGCCTGGGTGGCTCAGTCGTTAAGCATCTGCCTTCGGCTCAGGTCATGGTCCCAGGGTCCTGGGATGGAGCCCCGCATCGGGCTCCCTGCTCGGCGGGAAGACTGCTTCTCCCTCTCTCACTCCCCCTGCTTGTGTTCCCTCTCTCGCTGTGTCTCTCTGTCAAATAAATAAATAAAATATAAAAAAAAAAAAAAAAAGAAAGAAAATGTCTTTGTCCATCAGTGACCTGGTCTCACTCAGGAGCTGCCCTGTCTTAAGCAGGACACACACACACACACACACACACACACACATTTACACGCACACACACAGTCCCTCCCAATCGTTGCAAACACTCCTGCATCTTTTGCTGGTCTCCATGCTCTTTCCCAGGATGGTGTCCCAGGTGGAGGGAGCAGCCGCCTCTCAGCCTCCTGCTGGTCCCTGGGGATGTGGGGTTTGCTCACCAGGTTGCTGGAGGCCCAGCTGATGTCTGTGCCCCCAGGCTACAGGGCCCAGCCCTTCTCTGCTCCCTGGGGCCTGGGGGGACCCTTCTGGTCATCTTGATGTCCCCTTTGTCCCAGGGGTTCAGTGGAAGTGCCAGGACACCCGCTCCTGCCCCCGCTGCCTGGCCCAGGTGGGATCTCTCCTCCCACCATGACGGGCCCACTGGGGCCTCCTGGCATTGTCTCCCTGGGCACACCGGAGGGGAACTGGGCGGAGTCCCAGGGCAAGGTGGACCCGCCCTCTCTGCCTGGCCACACTAAGCCACCAGGCATGCTAAACGTGGCTCATCCTCCAGGTGGCGCTTGGAGGCCGTGGAGCCTCAGGGACATCCGTCCCGTGGGAATGTCCCTGCACCCATGGCCTGAATCTTGACCCCTGTGTCCGTGTTGGAGGGTCAGGAAGGAAAGACTAGTTCACAACGTCTGCTTTTCTGCCCTCTCCCCCCTCCTCTTCCCACCAAGTCCCCAAGATGGAAGAGGTGTGAGCTTTATTTTGCTTTCATTTTTCAATTTCCCCGAAACTGTCAGCTCCCCAGTGACATCATTGCCTGGACTCACAGGACTCCTTTTCACTGGAGCAGGTACCCGACCTGGTCAGCCATTCCTGCTCTGGAAGGGGCAGAAGACTCCGGAGTCCTCTCTCGCCCAATGCCAGGCTCTCCACTCTTCCCTTGCTGAGAGCCTGGCTCAGGTCAGAGGCAAACAAGACAGACGTTAGGGGGAGATACACCATTCTGACTGTGATGGTTATTTAGGGGTCAGCCCGACTGAACTAAGAGATGTCCCCAGAGCCGGGAAAACATTACTTCTTGGTGAGTCGGTGAGCAGGTTTCTGAAAGATTAGCATCTGATTCAGTCACTGAGTGAAGAGGTCCACCTTCCCCATTTGGGTGGGCATCCTCCATCCTCCGAGGGCCCGGATAGAACAGACAGGGGAAGGAGGCCCAATTCCCCCTCTCTCTCTTCTTGAGCTGAGACAACTATCCTCTCTGGCCCTGGAAATCGTAGCGCCTGGTTCTTGGGCCTGAGGACTGGGGCTGAATTATACCAGCAGCCTCCTGGGCTCCAGATGGCAGAGAGCTGGTGGTGGGACTTCTGGCTTCCATAACCTGAGAGAGAGCTGATTCCTAGAATAAATATATATTTAAATATATATAAAAGTACATTTATATATTATGTATACATATTATATATAAATGTATTTATATATTATATATACATATTATGTATGCCTTATGTCTATATACATATTATATATAAATGTATTTTATATATATTTATATACAATCTTTATAACAGAATCTTTTGGTTCTGTTTATCTGGAGAACCCTGACTAATATACTAACTGTTGAAAAATAATAAAGAGAGAGAGAGAATGTGTCCCTGCATGAAAAAGAGAAATTCAGTACAGGACGTAATGAAGAAAAACAAAGATGCAGAGTAGAGGGTAACAACCAGAGGAAGAACTTTGAGTACGAATAGAAATTAACCTTGAGTACGAATGGGAAATCAAAGCTCAGTACAAACTGAAATTGTGTTTAAAAACCAGGCACCCACCCTCTCTGAGCCGTGACAGACCCTCCCAGCTGGTGAGATGCAGCCTGTCCTGAGGTCCCCGAGTGGAGCTGACAGTCTGCAGTCTACAGCCCCTGTCACTTAGGGCTGGCCGACCTCGGGCAAGTTAATTAATGATCAGTCCCTAGTTTCTTCAAGAGCAAGAGGAGTGGAGAAAAGAATAGGACATGCTCTGGAGGGTTCATATGAATATTAAACTGTGTCAGGGTTGGGGCACCTGGCTGGCTTAGTCTGTGGAGCATGTGACTCTTTTTTTTTTTTTAATTTATTTGACAGAGAGAGAGAGAGACAGCGAGAGAGGGAACACAAGCAGGGGGAGTGGGAGAGGGAGAAGCAGGCTTCCCGCGGAACAGGGAGCCCGATGCGGGCCTTGATCCCAGGACCCCGGGATCATGACCTGAGCCGAAGGCAGATGCTTAATGACTGAGCCACCCAGGCGCCCCGCATGTGACTCTCGATCTCGGGGTCTGAGCCCCATGCTGGGTGTTGAGATGACTTAAAAATAAAATCTTTTAAAAAAGTGTTAATAATGGGCGCCTGGGTGGCTCAGATGGTTAAGCGTCTGCCTTCAGCTCAGGTCATGATCCTGGGGTCCTGGGATCAAGTCCCGCATTGGGCTCCCTGCTCCTTGGGGAGCCTGCTTCTCCCTCTGCCTATCTCTCTCTCTCTGTCTCTCATGAATAAATAAATAAAATCTTTAAAAAAAAAAGTGTTAATACTTGCAAAGAAGTAAAATAGCAATTGCACCATAATAAGTCAGCTGAGTTTAGGTTGAATTTTTCAAAAATATTCTTTTAATATGTAATAAAACTTTTAATACAAGGCCTATAGCAAGCATGCGGGTTTCTTACCTTCCTTATAGCAAAAAAAAAAAAAAATAATAATAATAATAATAATAATAAAAGACATAAAAATCTATCAGAATGAGACACTCAGGCCCCCCTAGCAGTTGTCAGGGTAAGGTTCCATTTTAATGTGAGTGGGGTCCTCGAGGCTGACCCCACAAGCCAGGTAGAGATACAACACGTCCCACCCCACAGGGGGCTCGAGGCTCTCCTGGCAGGCGTCTTGGGCACCCCACAGCCTCTGGTGGCATAGCTGGTCCCGATGTGGGGACGTAGTTGTGCAGATCCCACGTGTTTGCTGTGGAGGCAGCATGCAGCTGCCTCATCTACAGAACTTGTAGCAATCAGCAACAGTGCTAAGCAATCGAGTGGGCAATTGTGGACAGAAGCCTAATCTGTGTGCGGAGACATTAAGAAGTAACAGGGGCCCTGAGGAAGGGAGGAGAGGATCCCGTTCAAATAACAGAGCCATGAGGCCCGCCCACGTGGTCAGGTCCTGGGGGGTCAGGGAGAGAGGCATGGAATTTGGACACCGTGTGATGTGAAATAGAAGATGGAGAACGGATCCAGGGAAATATGGCGACCTGCTTTCTGCACACCACAAGGCAGGGGGCTCTCAGGAAACAGCCCCCAAGATACCCACACCCCGTCCCCATCAGAATATGTGTGATTAGGGGAGCATAACAGCTCATGTGTGATGGAAGTTAACCTCCCGCACGAGCAAACAGGTGAACGTGATCCCAACTCAGCAGTAGGGTGATTTAAAAATCCTGTGTATTCGTAGGAACTGTGAGGGACAGTCAGGGCACAGAGCAACCACACTATTGAAAGATTGTTAGAGTTCTCAGGAGGAGGGGCACACCGCACCACGCAGGGCTCCAGGGGCAGTCAGCGGGGCGGGGGTGGGGGGGGTGCGGTGGGGCAAGCGGAGCTTTTGGTGTGGTTTCTACAGGAAGAATGAGCAAGCCAGGGCGAGCAGGCTCAGGACTGGCTGGACTCCACAATTTCAGTGGGCTCTCTAGTGGAAAAGATGACCCTGTTGTCTGTTCCGTGGCTCTGGGGTGATGAGGGCACATGGAGAGAGCGGCCCAGAGTGTGAGAGCCTCGTAAGGGAGGTGGTTGGGGGTGTGGGCTCTTGATCAGCTGGTGAGTGTTTGAAAAGTGCACCCCCAGGAAGAGGATTTTGCTCAGGAGAGGGGGTCAGTGAGGAAGGTTGGAAGTCAACGCAGTGACTAAGGTCGTGTCCAGCACATGCATCTAGGACAGATGTCAAGTTTATAGACGCCTGAAAGGTGGCTAATACGAGGGGTGGAGCAGGTTCTGCTCCACAGAGTCATTCTGGGCGCACAGAAATTAGACCGTCAAAACATCCAGCATTTTACAGACCAGTGGGAGGCAGCCCGTTCGCATGTTGCCTTACACGTTACCTTACCTCACGTGGCAAACGGTGTCTTATTGGTGTCAGCGAGTTAAGGATTTGGAGAGGGGAGATGATCCTGGATTGTCCGGCGGTCCCAGTGTAAGCACGAGGGTCTTTATAAGAGGGAGGCAAGGGGCGCCTGGGTGGCTCAGTCGTTAAGCGTCTGCCTTCAGCTCAGGTCATGGTCCCAGGGTCCTGGGATCGAGCCCCGCATCAGGCTCCCTACTCAGCGGGAAGCCTGCTTCTCCCTCTCCCTCTCCCCCTGCCTGTGTTCCCTCTCTCGCTGTGTGTCTCTCTGTCAAATAAATAAATAAAATCTTAAAAAAAAAAAAAAAAGAGGGAGTCAAGAGAGTCAGAGGAAGGGGAAGGAGGCGTCACAGAAGCAGGAATCCTAACCAGAGCAGGTTTTAAAGATGCCACAGGGCTCCCTGAGGATGGAGGAAGGGCCACGGACCGAGGGATGCAGGAGCCTCTAGAAGCTGGAAAAGGTCACCAAATGGATTCTCCGCTCGAGCCTCCAGAAGAAACGCGGCTCTACGGACACCTTGCTTTTAGGCCCGGAGAAACTGATTTCAGACTTCGGACAAGCAGAACCGTAAGATAACAAACTGTGTTGTCGGAAGCCACGGAGGGTGTGGTGATTCGTTACAGCAGCCGTGAGAAACCGATACCCTCACTTTACATGGAGGAGTTGCTGCAACCCCGTTAGGAAGAACGACGCCCAAGCCCAAACTTGAAGGGCGTTAGCTGGGTGAGGGAGTGAAGGTCAGAGGAAGGACAAGCTCTTGGAGCTGGATGGTGCTGTTGTGTTTGGAGAATGCATGGCGTCCAGTGTGGATGAGCCCGGAGTAGGGATGGGAAATGCGAGGCTGCCGTGTTCCGCGGCGTGGACTGAAAGCCTCAGGGTCCCTGAGGCTTTGCCTCAGTGCTCTGTGCAGTCACAGCCTCACCAACTCCCTCGTATGGTCCATATATCTGTCCATTAGTGCGTGTGCATGTGCGTATTCATTTGTATAGTTTGTGTGCACGTGTGTGCGTGGGTATATTTGTGGACATGTGCATGTATGTGTGTGCATTTGTGGACGGGTGTGTGTGTGGAGGGTAGGGTCGTACCATCTGCTCGTTTACTCGGGCACACGTCTCCTCAGCATTGCCCTCATTCCTCCCTGGGACACTCAGTTCAGAAAACACCAATGCATTCTTTGTCTTGTTTCCTGCTCTGAGCTTTGAGCAGAGACTGGGACCAAGCTCCCCGTGCAGGGCTACTGCAGGGCGGGCCTGTGAAAACTTTTACTGATGAACAAAGAGAAGCATAATCCAGAAAACGGCGTCTCAGCTATCAGCTGCCCACGTATAGTCCAGGTTCAAGGTCAACTTTGGAACTCTGGAAGGCCTTTAGAGTCAGCTGAGTGGACAATTAAATCAGAGCCTCTGGGGGCAGTTAGGGATACACGGGACACATCTGGAGTCACCTGTGTGACTGGGAGACCATAGCTGGGTCTCTGGAAACAGCCAAGTGACTATAGCGGAGTCTCTGGAAACTGCCAGGAGTCTGGAGTCTGTAGCTGGGTGTTTGGAAATAAGGGCTACACGTTCTCTCCAAGGACCTAGTGGATTTTAGGAGGGACCGCATGGTTCATGCATCTCCTAGATGTTGACTAGGGGTCTCCTGACGCCAGTTCTTGCCTCCAGGAAATCTGACTGCATGGCTTTCCAGAAAGGGACGATTCCATCCGGAAGCCCTCCAAATGGCCACTTCATGCATCTGCGGGAATGGCTTCCTGTGTGTCTAGGAGTGGAGGCCAGCTGGGCCTGGAGTCAGTGTCTGGCAAGGGCCGCATATGTGCTGGACTCAGCCGTGGGCTCCATGGACCGCGGGGACGCGGCTTGGGCCGTCCTCTGTGTGAGGATCCGGTGGTCCAGCTCAGCATATGTCACGTCCGGGGGGCCTCCTGCAGTAGGGGTCTGAGAGAGAGAGACCCAGGTGAGTCAGGGTGGCTGAAGAGAGGGTAGGGGACTGTGGGAAGGGGAGGCTAGCAGCCAGCCTGCAGGTGACCCCCGTGATCCCACCTGCTGGAGTCACCACTGTGTGTAGTTCCCTCCCACTTAGGATCAGGGCTGGCCTGGGTGACCAGTAGACTATGGCAGAGTGAGGGCATAACGTGGCTTCTGGCCCTCCCTCTCTGTGGCCTCCCTCTGGGGGAGGCCAGCTGCCATGGAGAAGCCCAGGAGGAACTGAGCGTCCTGCCAACAGTCGTGGCGGGGGGTGGAGCGCCATCCTAGAAGTGGTCCACATCTTCACAGCCACCTCCAGAAAGACCCTGAGCCAGAACCACCCCGCTAATCTGCTTCCAAACTGCCGAGCAAAGAAACGGAGATCATTTCATCAAGCTGCATCTGTTAATGCAGCAATTGGTAATGGGTACAAGGACTTACTGGGGTGTGAAGCATTTCCCCGTCCTTTTCAGGAAGTCTGTCGACTGTGGCCAGATCTGGAGGGGAGAAGACAAGGGGTCAGGTCTCTGAGGTGGGTCTTGGAAGGCAAGTTTGCCTGAAAACTCACAGCCTCAGGTTTTAAACTTGCACGGCATCGGGAACATCCTAGAATGTTCCCAAACGTTCCCCCCTCCCTGGCCTGTCCCTCCTTTTACCTGGTGTCCTCTCTAGGATGTCAACGGCCGGGCTAACCCTGAGGGGAAAGAACAGTGAGCACTGGGGGCCCCCCTGAAGGCAGAGGACTGGGAGGGGGCCCGGGGTCAGTCTCAGGAACCTCACCTCTCCTGGGGCCTCTGCTCTTCACCTTTGCTGCTGGGGGGCACTGAGGACAGTCAGGGGTGTGAATTAAGAAGAGAGTCCTTGGGGCGCCTGGGTGGCTCAGATGGTTAAGCGTCTGCCTTCGGCTTAGGTCATGGTCCCAGGGTCCTGGGGTCGAGCCCCGCATCGGGCTCCCTGCTCCGCAGGAAGCCTGCTTCTCCCTCCTCCACTCCCCCTGCTTGTGTTCCCTCTCTCGCTGTGTCTCTCTCTGTCATATTAAAAAAAAAAAAAAAGAGAGAGCCCTTCTTCCCAGCACCCCCACCCTCTCCCTGAGACCTACTGTGTTTTTTCTGGTGCTGATAATAGAGGAAGATGAGGACCAGGAGGAGGACACAAAGGAACAAGGCCACAGAGATCCCAATGAGGATAGAAACATGCCCTGTTGACAGGCCTGGGGGAACAGGGAAGATGGAAGCAGATTACCAGGGATGTGCATTTATTGGTCACCAACTGCATACCGTGTGTATGCTGGGTGCTGGGCATGCACACACCTAGGTATAAAAACTCTGCAATGCATAGTAGTCCTGTGACATGGGAAGCATTATTACAAGACCAGGGTCCTGAGTGCCGAAGTCCTCTGTCCACAGGGCATCAGCAGAGCTGGAATAGGACCAACCCCAAAGCCCATTCTTTCCCCTTCCCCAAGAAGCACACCCTGCTCCTCTGTCCCCCTCACTCACCGGGACTGTTACTGTCCTCCCAGTGCATCTGTGGGTCTCCTGGGAAGGAGGAATTGAGCGCACGGTCAGAGGCCTGAGCTGGACAGAGAAGGAACCCTGAGCCCGACTCCCCCCGCCCGGCAAAGGGGGCTCCTCCAGAACAGACCCGTGGAACTTTCTGTGAGGATGGAGATGCCCTATCATGCTGTCCAGTATGATAACCTCACTGGATGATTTCCATTGAAATGCAAGTTAAATAAATTTAAAAGTCAGATCCTCAGCTGCACTGGCCATGTTTCCTGAGCTCAGGGGCCACGCCTGGCTAATGACAGCATGCGGGATGGCCAGACACACAGCGAGCCCTTCCTGCAGGAGGCTCTGTGGGTCAGTGCTGCCCTCCGCCCTCCCCTTGCTCAGCTCCTTCTGCATTCCCACCCCACGCGCAAAATCCCCATCGCTGATGTCTTCTGTTTCTCACAGCAGCCCCCCAGTGGGGGCGAATCTCCCTTCTGTGAGCGCAGAAGCCAAGACTCCACGTCCTCCTGTCGCCTCCTGAAGCCTCACGGCTGAAGCCAGTCATTCCAGCACGGCTTGGCCCTGGGTTCTGCGCACGTACTGCGCGTCCATTTCACAGGTGGTCAAACCGAGTCCTGCCGGGCTCCTCCGCACGCAAGGTGGAGCCCCCACGTCGCCTCGTCCGGACAGTGCCCCCTCCCTCCCGCCGCCCCGGAGGCTGAGTCCTCAATGTCCTTTAAGAAAGGCAGAAAACGGGCAGCTGGGTGGCTCAGTTGGTTAAGCGACTGCCTTCGGCTCAGGTCATGATCCTGGAGTCCCTGGATCGAGTCCCGCATCGGGCTCCCTGCTTGGCAGGGAGCCTGCTTCTCCCTCTGACCCTCCCCACTCTCATGTGCTCTCTCTCTCATTCTCTCTCTGTCAAATAAATAAATAAAATCTTAAAAAAGAACAAAACAGGGACGCCTGGGTGGCTCAGTCGGTTAAGCGGCTGCCTTCGGCCCAGGTCATGATCCCAGGGTCCTGGGATTGAGTCCCACATCGGGCTCCTTGCTCAGCGGGGAACCTGCTTCTCCCTCTCTCTCCCTCTGCTTGTGCTCTCTCTGTCAAATAAATAAAATCTTTAAAAAAAAAAAAAAAAGAACAAAACAGAACAAAAAAAAAACATTAAAAAAAAAAAAAGAAAGGCAGAAAACTTCACCTACAGAACTTCCTTCCCTCAACACCTTGTCTTTGGTCCATGACGCAGGACCCCACCGCTGTAATATATAATAAATATAAATATACGTTTTTAAGTTCTGTGTTTTAACTTATATACGTATAATTTAATTCACGTAAATAATTTTAATGATATATCACTTAAGATTACTTGTAATGCATAAGCTAGATATCTCAATTGTATCTCAATTATACATATTTACTATTATAAGGTATGTATTTACATATATGAATTATAGCAATACATGACACATAATACAATGTATCACATTATATACTATACAATATTGTATGCTATATCCATATGTAATAATATATTAATATATTTTATTATGTTAATTATAGTACTGTGTATTTAATATACGATGTAAATATACATTCTAAAATATTTATAGATCTGAAATTTTGTAAGTTAATGTTGATATATATAAATGCATTCTATTTAAACATATACAAATATATATAAACATTTCTATTCCTCATTCTAATTAATTTTCCCGTTAACGTTTGGGAGCTCAGGGACCCTTTCTCCCCATTCCCCGTGTGCATCCAGCGCTCAGTGGGTGGGTGTCTGGTGCATACAAAGAAAGGGTGAGAAGAAAGGGTCAGTATTAGTAAGACCAGCACTTTTTCAGGCCGTGGCATTCAGCAGGCAGTGACCCGACCGCCGTGCCCTGTGCAAACCAACTCCTGCGTCCCCTGCGCCCCAGGGTCAGGACATCTGTCGCCCCTTTTGCGCGCGAGGAAACTGGGGCGCGCACAGTTTTGGTCCGCGGGCACAGAGCTCTGAGGCAGGACTGGAATCTCTACCCTGATGCCGGCAGGAAGGCTGTGGGGTTTCTGCTCTGAACTTCAGTCTTCGCAACAAGAGATGGGGGAGGGGGTGAGAGGCAGGGGGCATGCCTGTGCGCCCCCCACCCAGCGGGGTCAGGATTCTCTGAGAGGGGCTGTCTTCCTCTAAGTGACCTAATGCCACCGTTGGGACATAACCATCAATAGCCCCGTTCTCTCCCGTAGTTTGGAAGACTGTCAGTCTCTCTGTCCCTCTGGACCTCTGTCCCTTGCAGAGCTGCCACGAGTAGGACCCTGCCCACAAGGGGGTGGCCACAGCCTGAGTTCTGCCCCTCCCTCCCCCTGGCTGGTTCCACCCTTCAGAGCCTTGTGCCTTTGGGCATGAAACTTGCATCGCTTTGCACATTAAAGGAGTGGGGGGCTCTCCGAAGGTCAGAGGAGTGCCTCCCACATCCAGCCGCTGCTAGCTTTGACCGTTTTCACAGCACCTGGTACAGAGGTAGATCAACCAGTGAGTGTCCTTGCGCTCTGCATGTGGCAGCCCCTCACTGTGGTTTTACCAGTCCCTGATCCAAGCCAGAGCCCCCCAGCTCCCCAGCACAGAGCGCCCCCAGCAATGCCCCCAGGCTGAGGTCTGTTACTCACCAGCTGAGGAGTAGGTGTGTGTGGGGGAGTGGGGTGTCTCTGTGACCAGGACAGAAGCACTGATGCTCGGGCGAGTCCCCCAGGGTCTGTCCCACTCAGCCTGGTGCATCTGTGCGTTGAGCACCCATGGGAACCCTGAGCACCCACGGGAACCCTGAGCATCCATCAGAAGACCGCATCCGGCCATCACCCCGTCCCAGAGAAACCTGAGGGCAGAGCAGAGGCATCCTCACCTGTCACCTCCAGCTGCAGTGACTCACTGCGTTTAGACCAGGTGACACCATTATGATAGAGGCAACGATAGAGCCCAGCAGCGTCTTCACTCGCCGCGGGGATGAGGAATCTGGCCTGCGTCTCGTGCTGTGGGTTCTGTGCATCTGGGTGTAGGGCATGTCCCTCCTTCTCCAGGCGGAATGTCTCAGCCTCAGTGGGTCCCTGGCACACGATGGTCACGGGCTGCCCCTGGGGGATCACAGAGCCCGGCTCCGCCCAGATGGAGGGTCTGGGCAGGACCCCTAGGAGGGAAGCGGAGGGGGCGCTCAGAGGCCACTTGTGAGAAAGTCACCATACCACACGATTCATCCCTGTTAGATGCTCAATTCATTTTTAGGCAGACTTGCAGAGCTATGCAATGGTCACCACCCCTTTGGAACATTTCCGTCCTCCTCCCCCAAGGGACCCCCCCACCCCTGCCAGGCCCATTCTAGGTGGGTGTGAATTCTCCTCACTGCAGTTTTTCTCCCCCTTGACATAGGACCCCGGGACTCGGCCACATCTTGGGCTTTCCTCAGGGTGACAGGGAGATGTCAGAGCAGGCTGGGCGCCCAGACATGTCTGCTGCGGAGTGTGGCCTCTCTCGCTGCCCATGGCCACTTTCTGGGGGGACAGAGGGGGCTGGGACAGAAACAGTCGATGAGGGTGACGTGTCATTTGTGGGGACAAGGGAAACAGGAGTCTGGAGTTGTAGGAATGACTGTGGCCTGGCTAGCCCCGGCTGGGGGCGGGGGGCAGTCTGCAAAGCCCCAGGGGAAGTCCAGCGGGGGGTGTGGTGGACCACCAGCTCATCTGGTCCCACAGACCTCAGTGGATGAGGTTTCCTGTCTCCAAAGCAAGTCCTCTGTGGGTCACCCGTCTCTGGGTTTGCTCTGTACTTTCTACCTGCATCTCAGCCTCATCTCTATTTCCTTGTTGTTAAGGTTCTTGAAAACCCCCATCTGCCTCAGCTAGGCTGGTGGCGGAGGAAGAGAGGGTCTGTATCCCTGAAACAGGAAGACGACATCAGTTACAAAATCCCTCATGGAGGCAGGAGCTAGGAGAGATTATGTGCTCATTTGCCTGCTCTCTCTTTCCTTCCTTCCTTCCTTCTTTCCTCCCTCTCTCCCTCCTCCTTTCTTTTCTTCTTTCTCTCTTTCTTTCTTTCCTCCTTCCTTCCTCCTTCCCTCCTTCCTTCCTCATTTCTACTATATCTTAGTACTATCTATCCACGTACAGATGCCCTCCACGTGCCACTGGTCTTACAAACCTGAGAAACACCCCCATGATCCCTGCCCTCTCGAGGCTGAAAGTATGGAGGGAGGACAGATACTGATCAAACACTTGTCCGAGTCCACAGGTACAAACTGTGATGCGTGCCCTTGGGGTGAGTGTGGGAATCTAGGGGTCCTCGGGGAGGCTGGAGGGAAGAGGCATCTGAGCTGAGAGCAGAGGGTCCGGGGTGAATCACCCACGCTGAGCAGAGAGGGGTGGCCAGGGCATCTGACACAGAGAAGTCAGCATGTGAGGAGGTCCGGAGTTGAGGGGGAAATGGTGTGTTTGAGAAAGAAGGAGGGCTGAGGTATCTGGAGGTGAGTGAGCCGGACAGCGTGAGGACAGGACAGATCCAGACCAAAGAGCGGTGCGTGGATCTCATGCGATCTGAACAGAAATGGTGAAAGGGCTCTAAAAAGCTACTATTTTGCCCGGAAAAAATATGAAAAATAAATTTCAAAAATGTAAGTGAAATTTTAAAACTATCATTTAAAATTATATCACTAGGTGATGTGTATTGAGCGTAAAGAAGTTGGGATCAAGGATGGCGTCTGGAACTCTGCCCTTGGCAACTGTCATGTTCTCTGCCCAGGGGGTGCTGGGGGCGGGGTCTGGGCTTGTGTGGGAGAGCCTTGGGTTCAGCCTAATCCTGTGGGGTTTCCATTGTCTGGGGGGCTGTTGGGAGCGCAGGTGGAGAATGGAGAGAGACCTGGGAGGGTCATACATTTGGGATGGTTTGCAATTCGGGGTAAATTTCAGGGGCTCCTCCCAGGCCCTCCCAGGGTCAGCACCACTCTGGGGTACAGAGGGGATGGGGGGAGACTCACCTTTCTGTGCTTGGAGCACTTGGCCCAGGCAGAGCGCTGGAAGAGAAGATCTGGTAAGAGAGATGCCCATCCCTGGTTTCCTCAGGGGCTGCTCCAGTCCTTCTTGCTCTGAAATAGTCTCGAGACAAGCCCCCGGCCCCCTCTTCCGAATAGATGCTTCTCCCCCGCCAACCCCTCTGGAGTCTGAAATCGTCCCCATACCCAGGAGCCCATTTTTAGGACGGAACTTGCACGGTCTGACTAGGTCTGGGGCAAGAGCTGAGGGTTCTGATCCACATCGCTCTCCGAGCGTCCCGAAGTCTTCTGGACTGGGGTCAGGACTGGGAAGGGAAGCAGGCCCCCTCCCCAAGTCTCCTGCCCACCCCCTCTGTCCCTCAAACCCTTTGTCTCCATTCCAGGACTCACCAAGGGCCAGGAAGGCGGCCAAATGGGGAGACATGCCCAGACCCTTGCAGCCTGCACACCCCTGCAGCCGACGGGTGAAAAGACAGAGCCTGCAACTGACAAGGGACAGGATGTGTCAGCTGGGGCACATCATGGGGTTTCGACATCCGCAGTCTCCCACAAAGGGGAAGAATGTGCTCTTGTCCTTCCCACTCTTCTCACTAATGAGAGTGAGGAAGTTGCCTTCCAAAACATGCTTGGATGAGGCTGAACTCACGCCCAGATGAACGCCTGAGGTAAGAACCTGATTGTCAACCTCTGGGATAAGGCAGGACATGGATCTGTGCAACAAACTGACTTGGTAACACAAAGTAACCATCTGTTCTTGGGCAAGACGTCATGCCACTTCACGCCAACATTTCCTCATATTTAAAATGGGAAGCCTAAAATCCTCCTCCAAGTCTTTATTTTTTTAAATTTTTTAAAAAAGATTTAATTTATTTATCGGGGCGGGGGGCAGGCAGGAGGAGAAGCAGACTCCCCACTGAACAAAGAGCCCAGTGCGGGACTCGATCCCAGGACCCTGGGATATGCCCTGAGCCGAAGGCAGGTGCTTAATGACCGAGCCACCCAGGCGAACCTCCTCCAAGTCTTTAATATTATGATATTCATTAAATTCTGTCAGGTGTTGGAAACTTTAAAAACATCCTGCTAGCATGAGTTCTCTTCCCATTTTCCCCCCAGTGCCGTTGGAACCAGGGAAAGGTAGGGTGCCCCTGAGCACATGCAAAATCCTAAAGGGGTGGGATGGTCAGGAGGCAGACCTCAGGCTTGGGGCCAGGTGGGGCTTGCAGTCGCGTGCTGAAATAAAGAGCAGAATCAGGGTGGGGAACACACTTATGCACCACGGAGCCCAGCAGGACAGGGGTCCCACCAAAGATTCTCGTGTCCACTGCCCTGACGGCAGGAAGAGCCACTTCTCCAAGGTGTGGCCGCAGTAGACACTGATGGTGGCCAAACATCAGTCACGGCTCCCTAGTTCCCTTACTAACAGGAACCTAGAGCTGTTAGAGTGGCTGTGTTCGAAGCTTGGGGCTGGGGGTGGGTGTGGACTGAAGTCTGGGTTAAGGCAATCTAGCAATCCCGTTTGCAGTAATTGGTCCAGAGTGGGGCACGTGACCAGGTCTGGCCAATGAGGCTGAAAGCAGGATATACTGCTGTATCTGGGACTCCTATTTCTCCCTTAATATTGGAGGGTCTCATGGGACCTCTGCCCTCTTTACTCCTGTCCTTCCCTGGGAAGTGTAGCATGATGATGTGATAGATGGAGCTGCAGCAGCCACCTCACAGCCATGAGGCAACAGGCTTGAACACAACAGCAGAAACAGCTGGGGTGGACAGACACGAGGTCTAGGATCCGTAGAAGGTCCCTGTGTTGCTAAACCAACCCTAGGACCACCTCTCCCTGGAATTCTTTTTTTTTTTTTTAAGATTTTTTTTTTTAATTTTTATTTATTTGAGACAGAGAGAATGAGAGAGAGAGAGAGAGCACATGAGAGGGGGGAGGGTCAGAGGCAGAAGCAGGCTCCCTGCCGAGCAGGGAGCCCGATGCGGGACTCGATCCAGGGACTCCAGGATCATGACCTGAGCCGAAGGCAGTCGCTTAACCAACTGAGCCACCCAGGCGCCCCTCTCCCTGGAATTCTTAATAAGTAAACAATAAATAACCCTAGATTTTCCTGTCAAAACGTCAGACTAAGTCTATGGACTTGCACTCCATCTTAAATACAATTAATTATGTCTAAAAACCTAAAACTGCTTACTACAAGATCTTAAGAATCTTCTTCAGTGCCTTAAAGAAATGAAAAGTATGTGAAGGCTATGTAGCCAGAAATTAAAGGAAGTTGGGATTCCCCAGAGTCAAGCTGGATGCTGAACCCAGCTCTCATTTTGACGGTGACGAGTTAAGTCTTATCTCCGTGGCCTTGCAGACCATGGGGCTAAGGGCTAAAGCCCAGAGGTCTCCCTGGTCAAGGTGTCTGGGGACACTCTCCCTTTGTTAAGCCAGAGTCCAGAAGCTTCCATTTTATCGTAAGAGTGAACTGAAATTATTCACCCATTTCTGAGGGCTGCCAAGAATACGTGTTTTTAAACAGGAAGCCAAACATAGTTGCTCCTGAAAAATGACTAACACCAGCCAGTCTTCTGAATCTGCAACTTCCTGATCTTACTCTCTGTGTGTGTTCACCCTGTGATCTCTCTGCCTCTCGGTCTGTCTTTCTCTCGCCCTCCCACTTCCTTCCCCCTCAGTATCTCTACCTCTTCTTTCTCTGCTTCTCGTTTCTGGTGGCTGTGTGTCCCCGTGCCTCACAGCATCGCTCCTTGTCCCTGTCCATCAGGTCCCCGCACCCCCAAACTGTGCTAATAGAAGGGGCTGACTCCCAACACACCCAAGGCCCAGATTGCTGATCTCCCCGGTGACTCCAGGTCCCCGTAGACACCATCCCAGCTTTGTAGGGGGATCAGGGGGCACCCAGCCCAGGAGCCTTCATTGCCTGCTTTTTGTGGCCTCGGGCTTGCTCACTGGCCATGTGGCCTCGTCCCCTGTTCTGCTTCTCAGCCCTTGTCCACTTGGGTGATGCCTCCCATGCATGAAATTCTCCACCCCCCCTCTTTTCGTGTAGTCTTTATTAGTGATTTTTCATCAGCTTTATTTAGGCATAATTTACATACAACACACCCCATCCATGAATACGTGCAATTCAATGAGCTCTGGCCACTGTGAAATCGCCATCCTCGTGAAGATTTCCATCGTAGCCAAAAGATTCCTCGTGTCCCCTTTGCCCTCCCAGCAACCACTGATCTCTCTTTTCTTTCTTTCTTTTTTTTTTTTTTTTACTTTTTGGAAAACATTTATTTGTTCGGTAACATTTTTTAAACAAACCTCTTACCCCGGAATAATGTTAGATTCACAGAGAACTTGCAGAGACCCAGAGAGTTCCGCTATGCCCTTCATCCAGTCTCCCCAACATCCATACTTTATGTAACTGCACTACATCTGTCAAAACCAAGCAATTAACATTGATACAGTAATTAAATAAACTGTGGGGGACTGTGGTCCCCATCTGTTGGTGATAAATAGCTTTTCCTTGCCTGAAATGTCTTTTTCTCACCTCTGGTGCTGAAGGGCATTCTCCTGTTCTGGAATTGTAGGTTGGCTAGGTTGGCAGCCCTTCTCTTCCAACACTCGTAGAGACTGCATCCCGGTGCTACTGATGCTGGTCAATTCACTTTTCTTTTCTTTTCTTTTTTCTTTCTTTCTTTCTTTCTTTCTTTCTTTCTTTCTTTCTTTCTTTCTTTCTTTCTTTCTTTCTTTCTTCTTTCTTTCTTTCCTTCGTTCCTTCGTTCATTCCTTCCTTTCTTTTTCTGTGGTTTTATTTTCTTATACTTTATTTTTTTAATTTAAAATCAATTTAATTAACATAGTGTATTATTAGTTTCAGAGGTAGAATGTAGTGATTCATCAGTTGTATATAACACCCAGTGTCCATTCTATCACGTGCCCTCCTTAATGCCTGTCCCCTAGTTACCCCATCCCCCATCCACTTCTCCTCCAGTGACCCTCAGTTTGTTCTTTATTGTCAAGAGTCTCTATGCTTTGCCTCACTCTCTATTCTTATCTTATTCTATTTTCCTTTCTTTTTCCTGTGTTCATCTGGTTTTTTTTCTTAAATTCCACACATGAATGAAATCATATGGTATTTGTCTTTCTCTGACTTATTTCGCTCAGTATAATACCCTCTAGTTCCATCCACATCATTGCAAAATGGCAAGATTTCATTCTTTCTGATGGCTGAGTACTATTCCATTGTATATATGGACCACATCTTCTTTTTTTTTTTTTTGAAGATTTTATTTATTTGACAGAGAGAGACACAGCGAGAGAGGGAACACAAGCAGGGGGAGTGGGAGAGGGAGAAGCAGGCTTCCCGCTGAGCAGGGAGCCCGATGCGGGGCTCGATCCCAGGACCCTGGGATCATGACCTGAGCCGAAGGCAGACGCTTAACAACTGAGCCACCCAGGCGCCCCTGGACCACATCTTCTTTATCCATTTGTCTGCTGAAGGGCATCTCGGCTCCTTCCACAGTTTGGCTATTGCGGACATTGCGGCTATGAACATTGGGATGCAGGTGCCCCTTTGAATCACTACATTTGTATCCTTTGGATAAATACCTAGTGACGTCGGTCATTTTGTTGTGAATGAACCCTAAATCCTATTGTTGCTCTTTTGCAGTCAAATGCAAAAAAAAACTGAGCTATACCCCCATATTGTTGCTCTTTTGAAAGTAAAGTGCCCTTTTCTCTTTCACTGCTTTTGAGAGTCTGTCTTTGTGTTTCAGCACTTTTACTATGATGTGTCTCAGGGTGCGTGTATGTTTACTCTTACTGAGGTACAACGGACAAAAGTGCACACACTGAATGCACAGCTTGATGAATCTCCACGAATGGAGCGGTCTCATGTCACCACCACCCTGATCAGAAACAGAGCTTTGCATGGATTCAATTTGCTTGTTTGGGTTCTTTACACAGATGTGAATATACAGTCCCTTTGTGTGTATCTGGCTCCTTTTACTCAACCAGATGTTGGTAAGATTTACTCATAATGACATGTGAAATTGTAGACCATCAATTCTTGTTGCTCTAGAATATTCTGTTGTGTGAATAACCACGATGTATTTATCCATTAAGCATTAAGGGGGAATTTATTTAGTTTCTCATCTAGGATGGATTATATTGCTCTGAATATATTAATACATGTCTATTGATGAGCATATAGGTGCATGTCAGTTTGTATAAACCTAGGAGTGTTAATTGCTGTGTTTTGGGCTGTGCAGGCATTCGCCTTTAGCAGGTACGGCCAACATTTTTGAAGGTGATTGTATCAATTTATACTTGGTGCATTTGAGTGCCCTGGTTACTGTTACTCACCAGCTGTTGAGGTTTTTACATCTTCTATGAGATCTTCCTGTGGTTTTGGCTTGCACTTCTTTGATGACTGATGCTGCCGGGAACATTTTCATATGGTTTTGGTCATTTGGATATTTATTTGTGTGAAATGTCCATGTGAGTCCTTTTCTCATTTCCTCA